ACTGTGCGCAAATTTTAGCGACAATACACAGCTGTCATGCATATGCAATGAATACCTAAAAAAAAAACACTGTCACTACTCAAGCAGTGCTGCTGTCTTTTTATTTTTTCATATTTATGCGATCACACAGCTACTGCTGCCAAGAATACCAAGACCGCCCGGACAATCTGTGCAGGTGCTTCCCCGTTTTGGTGCTTCCACAAGCCCAGCTGCAACTATGGACCACAGGTTACTCAAAGTTCTAGCAAAGACGATAACAGTGTTGTTTCTGTTGTCGCTAATATTGTATTATAATTGTAATAATAATAGCTGTTATTGATATTATTGTCGCTATTACTATTATCATTATCGTTATTATTATAAAAATTCCTGCCGTTTTTATTATAAAAATTCCTGCCCCATTATAAAAAACTCATAACTGATGTAGCTTCATGAATTACGCCACAAAAGTACAAACCTGTCTGCTTTATTAACATGCAGCACTTCCACGTTGCTATTCTCCATACCTACGGCAACCCAATCATCACATGGACAGCAACCAAGCGAGAAGATCTGTGACTGGAAATCATGCTGCTGCAACTGGACACGTTCACGTAAATCCCAGGAGCGGACCGTATTATCCAAACCACCACTCCATAATCGTAATGCATCACTTGATAAATCCACACAACTTGCGCCATCCTGGTGCCCAGGCAAGCATTTCACCTGAAAGTGTTGAAAGGTAATGGTAAGAAATGTATACGACTCTTATAATGGACCGGAACATTTCTTTTCCATTATAAATATTTTTCAACATTTTATTAATTCTTTTTTTTTTTTAACACTAAAATATTTTATCTTACACAAGAAAAAAAATGCTGAATTTGCAAATTCTTTTTTCAAAATCAGCTGCTGGCAGTGCCTGTCAAGTAAGACAGTCAGTTCATTGTCTTGGTCTACTCTACCAGTGGCCAGGTTCAAAATGTGGTGAGGCGGTGATAGTACGTGTGCTCAAGTAGCCGCTCCTAGTTTATCTCAGTATCGACCCCATACATATCAGGAACATCCTCCTCCAATGGTGTACCTCACAACTATGTTACTACCATCTTTGACTCTTCGCATTGTACTCTTCGCATCCATTGCAAACCAGACGGATTTTTGCTGCTGCCACTTGAACTGGAACTTTTTATGAACTTTTTTTTTATGAACTCATGAATTTTATGAACTATGAACTTTTTATGTAAGGAAGGGAGTTTGACAGTAGTTTGGAGGAGAACAAACTTCATCACTAAGCTTCAAAAGGAAAATTAAAAATAATTCGGAAAACTGAGGAATCGGAAGAAAATGGACCGTAAAAATCTAAAGTAGCTTCAGCTTTTCAGTACAGTCTAATACATTATTCACTGCTGGCTTAGTCTAACTTCAAACGTTCAAAACCCTGCCTAATTTCTAACTTTACTTGCCCAAAGCCTAGTCTGAGGGTTAAACTGTAGTTTCCAGTAACTGAAATGTTCCTGGTGGTCCTTCCAAATTAGTCTAATAATCTAATTCTTTTTATAAAAAAAGGCAGCCTTTTTTCAATTTACCATTTTCTTACTGTCGAGATCCCAGATAAGAATTTTTCCATCAGCCGAGCACGAGAAGCACAGCTTGTTGTCGTGCGAAATTGCCAGCGCATAGCATGCTTGCGCTTCACTGTCCAATTCGATTTTCACTTTTTCGGTCTAAAAAATACTTAAGTTACCCCGGTATTTTTACCATCAGCCACCCTTAGATTATCACAGTGCAGTCGATGATACTGATGGGATGTATCTGCATACTCTGCTAATCAGCTATGCTTCTGAAGAACTCGCAAAAGCGGGAGCCATCACCAGTCCGGTCAGCGAAAAGTTGCTGCTAGTGCTAAGTACCGCTTCGGCCTACTTCCAAACACCTCGGCCTCTTAGAGGGGAGTGGAAGTGGAAGAGATTTTGTCTTACACAAATATAAATAAAAAAAAAAAAACCGAACCGTTAAATCCCAAATGGTGATTGTCTGTGCTTCACCGCCAACAATCAGTGTGGAACCGTCGTTGAACAATTTGCACGAGCGTATGTAATTGTCCTTCAGGCACTCTAATGTTGAGATCGCATTCTTGGATGTTTCGGCCCGTGAAATATCCCAAACCTGAATGTACCTGACTTAGACTATACTCCTTCTCCCTCTCACATTATTCGTTCACAAATTAAAATTTCAATTTTTCTTTAAAGCCAAAAAAAGTGTGATTTTTTCTTTTGAACAGAAAATACTCCCTAAGAAAACTTATACAAAAGATCAAGAAGAAGTGGGGAAGATTTAGAAGGAAGTAAAAGGTCTAAGGTTGCAATTCTGAATTTGGCTATTTTTGGCCTAAACTCAACACCTGTCAATAAAGGGTCCAGTGGGTTAGGTGAAATAAGGTTAAGCCTGCTTTAATACATCATCTAAACTAAGCCTTATTCGGAGATTTCAGAAGTTTCGATATATCTCCGACCTAGTGATACATATCAGTGACGAGTCCAGGATGAAGAA